CCTCTCCCGACCCCATTTTTAGGACCTATACTGTCCCACCCGAGAATGAGCCGGAAGCTCGCCCCCGAAGCCAATCGGTAAGTTCTGCTCGCCGAATCTTGCCCCTCTTCGGTCGCCCGCCATCATTCAATCCCGGGCATTTGTTCTGCATGCTGTTGGATGGCAAACATACATGCCGAATGAGTATCATATCTGACGCATCGATGCTGACCGGATTCAGGATTCTCTTTGTAAAGAACCTCAAGTACGTCGATGATTTCCCACGATTTACTCCTCGATTCGCAACCCAATCGTCGCATACCTATCGACCGACAGCCATCAGGCGAAAGGCGCCCCATCTTGTTCTAGAAAGCGAGAGCTAACCTGATTGTCTCCTTACAGCTACAACGTCACAGCTGAGCAACTCTTTGACCTCTTCGGCAAATTTGGTCCCATCCGGTAAATCTGCGCATGACTCACGTTCAGCCCATTTGTTGGTCATTAAAGGCTAATTGTTTCTTTTCTTCAAGCCAAATACGTCAGGGAATTGCCAACAACTCGAAGGGCACGGCCTTTGTGGTTTACGAAGACGTTCATGACGCCAAACAGGCATGCGATAAGCTCAATGGATTCAACTTCCAGAACAGATACCTCGTCGGTATGTGATCCCGTGCCAGGAGAAGATGAAGCAGAGAAATTATGAGGACAATTCGATTGGCTGACATTTGTTTTGTGTCCTAGTTCTATATCACCAGCCCGAGAAAATGCTTAGGTCGAAAGAGGACTTGGCGGAAAGGCAAGAGAATTTGGAGCGTCTCAAACAGCAACATGGGATAGAATGACGTGATGATTGCTTTTGTTCGCTTTCTCTGCATGCCCTTTGCCGGCATCTGGCTGCGTATTATCCTGGGTTGGTCGTGGGGTTTCTGGCGTTTTTCTCTCCTATGGGTTTGATGGCTCTTATTCATTCATGGGTATGAAAGGGTTGCCGGCGGGTTGAATGACACCCTGGCTTTTTGTTCAGGAGAATGATACAGAATGGGTTATTTCAAACCGGGGTTCGGTGCTAGCTGCACCGGCTCTACGGTTACCAATATAATCATTTCGATCGCCGGCCACCTTTTGGCTGTTGCGGCACCCCCCTCTGAGATTACGGCTTACTACAGGTGTTTTGACTTGTCTTGCTACGAAGTATGTTTAAAGTGACCCCGATCAAGGGGGGAACTGGCCCAGTGCACTGCAGAGACCACGTCAGTCGTAGAAGTGGGCAGGTATCTGACGATCGTCCAACGGCCGTCAATTTGCATTGGGGTGGATCAAGCGGTTGAAGATCGTGCATCGACTAGTGAAGTATCTACAGAAACCCCCTGGAGTGCCGACGTAAGGCTAGCCAACTAGTGCGGTAGTTTATGTCTCTGCTGAGCTTCGCTTTAATGGTATCCACTCCCGGCCTCGTTAGCCGCGAGATCCAAGCGCCAATTATATTGTCACAATAGCGCAGGTGCAGCATTGGGGTAACATGCTTGGAACGTCTGCACCTGACGACTCAAGCACCCGATGATCCTGGACAGTTGGCTTGCAGGCGCCAAGGGGCACCGATGCCAGACAATGCCAGCCACGGTAGGCAGAGAGAGACACAGGGGATCTGTAGATAAGGAACAACACGCCCTCTATCACTAGATGCGTATAAGCAAAGTAGCGATCGGAAGCAGGTTTATTCTACGAAAGCATGAACTTCTATTTACCTACTGGATACTGCACCGACCAGTATCTGGGGTATACTGATCCACCGGGAGTCGATCTTCGATGACAGCTGGAGCACAGGCGCTGGAGTAAGGAGGCGATCAGCCTGGATTCGGCAGTTATTATTGGTGCCTTATACATAAGGCCACAATTACTGTAAATGCCTTGGTACTGAGGCATAAACATGTGGCCAATCCTAGAGCGGATAGTCATGACTCAGCCCCGCCCACCGCGCCTCTAAAGATTTTCTTTTCGCTGCAGTCCAGATGCGCTTCTGCTTCTACAATCACCACCACCTTTCCTCCCCAGCATTTAGATCTGCAACACGGCAGTGATCCTTTGCGTGAGCCTCTTTAGACCGCTACACACGTCAAACACACATTTTTAACAATGTCTGAGACTTCTGCCGGTATGCGCATCCCAGGTCTCGTTTTTCTCAAGGCCATATACTGACAATTTTCTATAGCCTGGCCCCTCGCCGATGAGGCCCTCACCCAGAACCTCCTGGACCTTGTCCAGCAGGCTGGTCACTACCGCCAGCTGAAGAAGGGTGCTAACGAGGGTATGTGCTCCCTCAAGTATACCCACTGTCTGTCTGCCTGCTAATTGTCCTTGCAGCCACCAAGACTCTTAACCGTGGTACCTCCGAGCTCGTTATCCTCGCTGCCGACACCTCTCCCCTCGCTATCCTCCTCCACATCCCCCTCCTCGCTGAGGACAAGAACACCCCCTATGTCTTCGTGCCCAGCAAGCTTGCTCTTGGCCGTGCTACCGGTGTTTCCCGCCCCGTGATCGCTGCCAGCATCACCACCAACGAGGCCAGTGATCTCCAGGGCCAGATCAAGACCATCAAGGACAAGGTCGAGAGACTGATGATCTAAGCGTTGGTCCTGATGTGGGAATCCCTCGGAGGATTATGCCTCCGTGGGTTCTTGAGGATTCTGTTGTGACTTCGGGAGTTGACCGTCCTTGACAAACGAAATTTTCGCTCCACAGTGCGAGAATAAGTCTCGTGAAAGGCTTGGATTGCTGCCGGATGATCAATTGGATATTGTGGGCGTTGTGCGCCTGCGGTTAGTGCAGATAAAAGTCAATGACAAAAAATGTGCCAAACTTGTGTAGTAAATTTTGGTTGATCTAATACCGAGTAGTCGAAGACGGGATATTAGTATACTAGTAATCATCACGCAAACCAAAAATAGTCCTTAACAAATATAGTCAGGGTCACCAGAATCAGGGTATTTCTCGGGGGCGCAATAATTTGCAGGACCGCCGGGTAGGAGCTTGGCGGGCGCTAGTGAGGCCCAGCTGCGGGGGCGGTGTCTTTAGAGTCTTAGAGTTCTCGTGCTGGTCCTGACCTCATAACTCAAGCCTGGCTGGTTCTCCGCCCCATTCTCATCCTCCCATGAAACCCACTTAATTTCTAGCTTCTACCCTGAGACCCTGGCTGGTTCCGGTTCCTTGCTGGTTAAGGAGGACCTGTCTTCTTCGTCTACATTCACTGTTGTGCCCCTAATTCTGGTTGATATCCTCCCATCATCTACAAATTCTGCCCCGGCCATATGCCCGTGACACGGACTTCTCTCGCAAGATAGGCACGCCGCCGTCTTGCATCTCCGCAGGTCACTGGACTCCCCTCAATTAATACCGCCACCAGTCGCTTGGCCGTGAAAATTCCTCGGACTTTGTCGAGAAATCTTCTCGCTATAGCCTCTTCTCCTTGATTTTGCTTTCCATCTGTATTTCGGACGCAGCATCGCCGCCATGACCTTCACATCACTCACCGGGCTAGTCATAACAACGGCTATCGCAGCCCTTAGTAGCGGTGTCGGTGCCTCGGCGGTTGGCAGTCTGACTACAGCCTCCACCACCTCCATAATGCCGTCATCATCACCGTCACCTACTATGCAAACTGTACCTTTTCACTTAGCTGGTCCAGATCCGACCGATGGAGACGACACCGGGGAATGCAGGCTCCTAGGGCCTTTTTCACTTCTTGTTCAAGCTGCGCTCGGAGCATTGGCGCTGCTATCACTTGTCTACAAGCGCTGGAGGGAGAGACCTCAGCGACCAGTGAAGGTGTGGGCATTTGACGTCTCGAAGCAAGTCTTTGGGTCTGCGATGCTGCACCTCGCGAATCTGCTCATGTCTATGTTTTCGGCGGGCCAGCTGGAGATCCGGAGTAAATACAAACCAAACCCATGCTCCTTCTACATATTGAATTTGGGAATCGATGTAAGCTTATCCCTATGCTCCGTTATACGAACTGCATGCTGACATGCTCTATTTCAAGACTACGCTAGGCATCCCGATACTCATCTTCATCCTTCACCTCCTCAACCGCTTAGCCTCGTATACTCCCCTCGCGAGTCCTCCGGAGTCCATTGAGTCTGGGAATTACGGAAGTCCACCGCGCGCCTCATGGTGGTTCAAGCAATCAATAATTTACTTTATGGGACTGCTAGGGATGAAGATTTGCGTCTTCTTCCTCATCCAGCTGCTGCCGTTCATAGTCAAGGTGGGAGATTGGGCTCTCCGATGGACGGAAGGCAACACGGCAGTGCAGATCATCTTCGTTATGCTGCTTTTCCCTGTCATCATGAACGCAATACAGTATTACATCATCGACACCTTCATCAAGAAGCCGATTATGCTGGATACGTTCGAGGAGGCGGAGCATGACACCCACGAGCATCGCCATGGGCTTCTGGCGGGCATGGACGAAGACGCATCCTTCGAGTCGGACGATGACTCCGTTGGGAAAGATGATGGCCCGGAACCTGTAAAAGAGGACCTAGTCCGGTTCGAGTCCGCCGGATACAACCCAGCTCAAGTCGAACACAGCTCTGCCGCGTCCGCTAGATCGGGTAGCAGCCACGGCGAGTATGGCGAGTTGTCGTCTTCCACCAAGTTGAAGTCCCAGAATAAGGACTGATATGATCTCCACTCACGTGTGTTATGTGGCGTTTGGTGATATTCTCGGTGATTATTCAATGGCAGTTGTGATTGGTGCATTTATGGTTCTATCAGGATGGCGTGTACATGAATTTACTTCAACTGTTTTTATGTCTTTTGTTTCCTCTACTGCGCGTTATAACTCATCCACGCATACGTATAGTTTAAAATCTGATTAATTTTAAGATCGCATTTAGAATTGATATCAGTGGCAATCTACTTAGATAAGTATGCCTTAAATACCAGGCACAGATGTACCGCAGTGACCGCACCCCTCACCGCCCACATCTGCCGGCCGCCGAAGAAAATTATTGTCGGCTTCGCTTTCTGCGATATACACCACCCCCTCTATCCACCCATTCAATTCTCCCCTAAACTCTGATCAATCAGAGAACACATACTTCACAATGCCGAAAGTGGCTGTCAAGCAAAAGTCCCGCCAAAAGGTCAAAACGGCCGCGCGCTCCCCCTTCGAACCAGGTCAACCCATTCGCGAAGCCAGCGACATCGACATGAGCGACGATGAAACGAGCTCCGACGAGTCCTCGGTGCCGGAGAAGGACGAAGCCGAGAAGAAGCTCGAGGCGATGCTCTTCGGCGACGACGAGGGATTCCTTGGCGCGTTGAAGAACCAGAAGGATCGCAGTTTAGTGCTCGCGGGTCAGAGTAGCGATGAGGACGAGTCTGCGGAGGAGGGAGACGATGATGAGGTGAAGGACTTGTCGCAGATGGATGATGCTGATGTTTGTTCCCTAATGGATATTTTTCTTTATTACTGCAGCTGTGCGGGTCGCTAACGAATGGGTGGTGATAGCTTTTCTTCCTTGACTCTGGCGCCGGACCTGTTTCTACGGATCTCAGCGAGGCGGCGCCCGCCGTGCCGTCGGATGAAGAGGGCAGTGAGGAGGAGTCTGGTATGCCTGCGCTGTGGCATGATAGCGACGACGAGCGCATTACGATCTCCTTGGCGAGCCACCAGAGGCTGAGGAAGCTGCGTGTCGCGGAATCGGAGGATGTCATCAGCGGAAAGGAATATATTCGCCGCCTGCGCAGACAGTACTTGCAGTTGAACCCGATGCCGGACTGGGCCAACCCGGAGAAGCAGCAACAGAAGGATGAGTCGGATGCGGACGAGATGGATACGGATGATGAGGAGCCATCGTCCACGCAGCCGCTGGCTAAGTTGCTGCAGAACGCTACGGATCTTGTCAACGTGGAGGAGAAGACGTCAAGCGGCCGCAGAAAGATGCGCCAGGAGGTTGTGGATATTCATCGTCTCAAGGACGTTGGCAAGGACCAGCCGGTATGTCTTCTCTTGCTAGGTTGCGCATCACTTCAATCTAATATGGTATACAGTCCTCGGTCGATTCGCTCATGTTCCACCCCAACTACCCGCTGCTCCTCTCCTCCGGACCTGCAGCCACGCTCTTCCTTCACCACATCTCGCCCTCCTCCCCGGCTCCTAACCCGCTCCTCACCTCATTCCACATCCGCAACACCCCCATCCACACCTCGGCCTTCCACCCGCCCTCCGGCAACCGCATCTTCGCCTCCGGGCGTCGCCGTTACTTTCACATCTGGGACCTGGAGACCGGCAAGGTCGACAAAGTCAATGGCACCGCCGACCGCAAGGAGGAGCAGAAATCCATGGAGCGATTCAAGCTCTCCCCCTGTGGCCGCTACGTCGGTCTGGTCGGCACCTCCCGCAAGGGCGGCGGTCTCATCAACATCCTGGACTCCGGCACGGCACAGTGGATCGCCCAAGTGCGCGTGGACGGCCGCGGCGGCGTGGCCGATTTCGCCTGGTGGAGCGACGGTGAGGGTCTAACGGTGGCTAGCAAGAACGGTGAAGTGTCCGAATGGGACGGCCGTCTCAACCGGGTCGTCGCGCGCTGGATGGACGCCGGTGCCGTCGGCACGACGGTGCTCAGTCTGGGTGGTCGGTCCGGCCGGACGCAGCTGGGCGGAGACCGCTGGGTGGCTATTGGTAGTTCCAGCGGTGTGGTCAACGTGTACGATCGTCGCGAATGGGCTGCGGCGTACGCGGCGCAGGGCGAAGACGTCGAGGCTGGACAGTCGGCGATTCCTCGTAACCCGGAGCCCGTCCGGGCTCTTGATCAGCTCACGACGCCGATCAGCCATTTGGTGTTTGCGCCGGATGGACAGTTCTTTGTTATGGCGAGTCGGTGGAAGCGTGATGCGCTGAGAATGGGTGAGTCCCCTTCTACTCTGATTATAGACTACTGTGTGGAAAGAATACTAATGACGATGAATAGTTCACCTCCCGACATGCACGGTGTACCGCAATTGGCCGACGTCGAATACGCCTCTGGGTCGTATTTCATCGGTGGCTATCTCGCCCAATTCGGAGCATTTGGCTGTGGGTAATGAGCAGGGACGGATCAGGTTGTGGGAGATTCGGGGGTAAATATTCCTACTTGGTACTTTATAGAGCCATAAAAGTTTTATACTGCATATTACGTGGAGTTAGTGTAGAGTAAATAAATACCAGTGCAGATTCATTCAATCATATTGATAGCTTGATATGTGACGTGTAACAGATACATACGAGTGAGCCCTAATAAGCACCCGTATCCAAGCAAACAAAAACATGTTAAAACCAAACTTAAGTAGCCTATGAACACCTCCGCCATTCTCCATGTCAGAATAAGAAGGAGAAATAATCATTAATTGGACAAGACAGAAAATAGAACCGAAAGCTGTGCCTACTTCGTAGTCACTTCGGAGACAGTACTAGAAGTTGACTGTCCGTGTCGATCAGTTTACCGCAGACCCTATACCAGTAAAGAGTAGTTAGTATATCACTCTCATAACAGATACCAACCATATTCCTTCCCCCTCTGTCTCCTTGTAAAAGACCCCCCAATAAACATAAAGAATAGGAGAACTAACCAGTCCGCCAAGCTACACCACCAAAAACAGTTAGCCATCACCCATCCCAGAAGCATCAAGTAAGTGAGTTGGAGTGGAGTAGTATCTTACCAATCCCAAAATCCCCGACAACTAATCCCCATAACAAAATTTTCCTCGTTAGCAAATTCCCTTCCTTCCTTCATCACATCCTCACGGAACAGTGTTACTTACGAAATCAAGCGGCTGTACAAAAACACACTCATTAGCATCACATCACACTTCCACCCATAGTAACAAACAATAAAGAAAAAGGGAACATAAGAAGCATACATCACTCTTATCCTTATCATCCCCACCATCATCACCCTTAGGATCCTGTCCATACCCATCATCGTCATCGTCGTGATCCTCATCATCGTAATCATCATAATCATCATCGTCCTCGCCACTATTACTCGTCTCATACTGCGCCGAAGCACCCGACGAAGAGGCAGAGGCACTTGCCGACGCACGAGAACTGGGTGTAGCTGATGCTGCGGCGTTGGGGGTGTGCATTGCTGCAGCTTCTGTTGCGGGCGTTGCTGCTGCGGTGGCGAGGTCGCGTTTCTCTATGAGGGGTTTGGCTGCGGCGAGCGCGGTGGTGGCCCAGAGAGTTGTTGTTACGAGGGTGGTGAGTTTCATCTTTAGTGCAGGTAAAGTAAGGTACTGCTGGTTGTAGGGGATATGGTGTATGCTAGGTAGGGTAGAAGGAGAGTTTGGTAGGTAGGGAGGAACGTCAATCAATGGTAAGTAGTGTAGTATAGAGAGAGAGCTGAAGGAAGAAGAGGAAGAAGAAGAAGAAGAAGAAAGGGATAGATCAAGTAGTAGGGTATAGGGCTATATTTATATAGCACTACATCTACTACAGTAAACACAGTTGCTGGTAGTGACGAATTGGCATCGGGGAGTATCTACCTATCAACTCCAGTATCTACAAGGTTCATCCATGATGATTCCTACATGATACATGCAAGGATTCATAACGATGTGCATTCCAGTCCAGTTCCAGGTTGAATCAGTGGTCAGGGCCAGATGATCCCATCCCGTCTGTCTGGTCCACGAGATTTCAAGCATTCTTCGTCTAACCCGCTAGGAATGTTTTATCGGGGTCCCCTTTCCTTCCTGTGCAACCAAACCAACACTGACCAGCTGAGTGACCGTGCACATTCTTTCGTTTTTTACCTTTCGGTTGCATTGCTTGCTGCGGGGTTTTTGTGTTTACAGACTGACTGGGGTGGTGGCAGGTCCAGTCGGTAGAGACGGTAGAGTTACACATTCAGTGGCTTCCTGGCTGGCTTCCTAATCACTACAAGGATTGCTCCAGACCAGACCAGGCCGGGCCAATTCTTCATAGTAACTTTCGTCGGGCTTCTCTACCCATGTTCAATCAATTATTTTCATTCCGTCCACCCCGTCTCAACACCAGAGAATAAATAATCACACCAAAGAATTCAGTAATATGTGCGCCAGGTCATTATAGCAGGGTCTTCATGTCAGCCATGTTCCGGATACCGCACAGGTTGCCGGCCTTGACCCGCTTCAGGGTCAGCGCCGCAATCAGCGCAGCTCCCACACCAGATCCATCCTCGGCCGCCAGGATGGTCACCTTGTCCTTCTCCTCCGGAGCCCAGTCCAGGATCTCCCGCAGAGCCTTGGCTCCGCGTGCCTTGAAGTGAGGGTACTTGGTGAAGACGGAGCCGTCAGCACCAACGTGGCACGAGTCGATCTTCTTCTTCGTGCAAATGGCGGCAACACCGCAGGCCGACAGGCGAGCGGCACGCGTACCGATGAGTTCGGCCAGACGGCGGATCATCTCCAGCTCCGCCGGGGTAGCCTTGATGTTGAGCTCGCGCTCCATGAGCTCCTCAGTCTCCTCCAGGTTCTCGTAGGGGTCCTCTTCGATGGCCGCCAGGAAGGAGGAGTCCAGGATGTAGGGCTTGCGCAGCTTGGTGGTGTCCTGGCCGTTGAAGATGAGGCCGGGGCGGTTCTCCACCAGGTCCATCAGGGCCAGACGGAAGATCTCACCCAGGTACAGACCGGCGGTCATCTTCTCGAAGGCCTGCTGACCGGGACGGGGCGAGTCACGGTCGATGATGTGGTCGTACTTGGTCAGGGGCAGCACGACGTGCTCGTTGTCGAAAGCGCCGTACTCGCAGTTGATAGCCACGGGCATGTCGGCGGGCAGGTTCATGTGGGCCAGCTTGGGGATGGAGCCAACGTTCTCCATGTAGGCGGCGTTGACACCGGTACCGAAGATGCAGCCGATCTTCATGTCAGTGTCGGTGTAAGCAGAGGCGATGAGGGTTCCGGTGGTGTCGTTGATCAGAGCAGCCACCTTGATGGGCAGGCCCTGGATAATTGCTACATCAGCTCAAAAACTTTGCGTGATTTGCTATCGGGGATTGACGTACGCGCTTCTGCAGGATGGCCTCCAACGGAGGGACGACGTCGTGGCCCTCGACACCATCAATGTCGAAACCCTTGGTCCAGCGCTGCAGGACACCGTGGTCGATGTAGTCCTGAGTGGCGGGGTAGGAGAAGGTGAAACCCAGGGGCAGCTTGGAGATCTTCTCGTTCTCGTGGTGAGCCTCGATGAACTGCTGCAGGCAGTCGGCGATGTATTCCCACAGCTCCTCGGCAGTACCGGTCTTCAATTCCTCAGGCATGCGGTACTTGGATTGGGTGATGTCGAAAGCACCCTTCTCCTGGGTCAGGGTGATCTCACAGACACGCAGGTTGGTGCCACCCATGTCGAGGGCGAGGAAAGTACCCTGTTCGTCGCCATCGGGGAATCCCATCACCCAGGTGACGTTCATAGGCTGAGTGGAGGGAGAAAGAGGTTAGTTGGGACGAAGGAAACGGACGAATTGAGTCGATTGATGCATGTCGTGAGCTAAATCACTTACGATGTTTCCGCCCTCAACACTGAGACCTGTTGTATAGAAGAGAATAAGTCAGTCGGAGTGATGCATTCCGGGCCGCATTGAAAGCGGGTAAAGTGGGAAGAGACGCACCCTTTTCCAATTCCTTAACAAAGTGGTTGACAATCTGCTTGAGCTTGGAGCGATCGACGGTGAATTGCTCCTCAAAATCCTTGATCTGCTGCAAAAGGTTCTGGGGAACATCGGCCATAGAACCTGGAGAAGCAGAGGGGCAGCCATCGGGTCAGCGATCGGCATCCCGAGAAATGGAGGGGAAAGGTGGGAGAGCTTTGTATTACCCTTGCGGGAAGGGGGACGCTTAGGACCGATTCCAACCATGATGACGGTAAGAGATGATTATATGGGGGAAGAGAGGTTGAAGATGAAAATGAAGAACAGTAGTAAAGAAATCGAGGAGAAGATGGAGAAGAGCAGAGTTAGAAACCGGGATGAGAGAAGATCGAGGGGGGGAAAATGACGTGGGGCAGCAGCAGCAGCAGCAGCAAGCAGAATCGGAGACGTAAGTAATAATAATAAGTTACTTAGTGTTTTGGGCCCCGCAGTGGAGGAAGGATCGCCTTCACCGGTTGTTGCTTTGGGTGTCTCGCCGCTTCATGTCTTGTCGTTCCTCGTGGATTATATATCTCCAGAGTTTAAGTAGTTCGGGCTCTATCTACGTGTCAATGACAGGATAAGTATAGCATGAAGCTAAGAGCTGTCATGTTGTTTGCGGGAGACAATTTGCAGCGGAGGAATGTATGCACTACTATGTATGTACTCCATCACTGCTGCTTCCTCTTCCCGCATTCTTTCTTAGTTCCTTCCTTCCTCATTAACTCATTCAACTCTTCGCTTCTTTTGGTTTACTGTCAACCAGTTGTTTACTACAAGCATCATGTGTATCATTATCCTATATCCTTCCCAATTAATTTCTTTCTTTTTTCGCTCCATCATCTTGACTCCTGTCGAAATCCCAAGAAGCTCCAGGAACCATCTATCTCTCTGGTCTCGTCCACTCAGAATCTCTCCATCCCAGCCACCTAACGCCATCTCGCCCGGACCTTCTCATCCATTCCATCCCCATCTGGTCCATGTGATCTCTCCTACTTTTTCTTTTTCCTCTCACCTCCCTTCCTGCATCCGCGCCAGATGCGGGAAGACATGAGCCAATCCCCCAATCCGGTCGTTCTCCTCTGTAGCTTGCTTCTCCTTCCTACCCGCTGCATCCGCGTGCGTGCCCGACTTTCGCTCCAGATGCTGCCGCACTCGCTGCTGGTATGCCTGCGAAATTCCCAGCGTGCGATCAACCTCTTCTGTGAGCCGGTCCACTTCATCTTGCAGCCGCTCCTCCCGGGTTTGTGGGGATGCATTCTCCGCCGCCCGTGCGGCCGGGTCCGGGTTCGTCCTCTCCCACAGCTCCTCTAATTCTTGACCCCAGCCCAGCGCCCGTGCCAATCGCCTCACCCCTGTGTCGCAGTCACCCAGCACCAATACATCGTCCGGGCGGGATCCCAGCCCGCCGACCCGCTCCATGTTGATCAGCACGCGGGGTACTCCATCACTAACGAATGCGGGCAGACTGGCAAACGGCTGCACTTGTAGACTGGTTCCCATAACAATGCACAAGTCCGCCTGCTCGGGGAGCTCCCGGTTGTCGAAAAAGTCAGCCGGCAGCGACTCTCCGAAGAAGACAATGTCAGGCTTCACCAGCCCCTTGCACTGAGTACAGTACGGAACCTTGCCTTTGGTGATAGCCTCTTTCATCAAGTCCTCGGGGTATTCCGCTTTGCAGTCGATACAATGCTGTGTCGCGAAGCTCCCATGTGCCTCGACAATCTTATCACCCGGCACTCCCGCCAGCCGCTCCAGGCAGTCGATATTCTGCGAGAAGTGCTTCAGTAGCATCCCCTTGTCGTAGAGTAGCTTGATAAACGAATGTGCGATGGTGGGTCGGAACTGACCCGGGGCCAATTCCCGGGCCAGGGCGTAGAATGGGCGGGGATTCTTGCGGAAGAAACTGATGTCGAAGACGGCTTCGGGATCGGGCAGGTCCAGATGGGCGAGATTCGAGTAGATGCCGGTATCTGGCGAGCGGAAATCGGGAATTCCGGCCGAAGTACTGATGCCAGCTCCGACCTGTAGACGTACCTCCTGTTAGCTATATCCCCACTCGATCTCAATATTGGGGATGTAGAATTCGATCTGACAGAGTGCGGGGGAGGGGTAATCGGAGGGGGAAGTTCATACCATCACCACCACACGCTTCACGGGCTTTTGCTGGACATATTTGGCAATCGCCTCGATGCTGCGTGCCTCGAGCACCGACGGGGGCGTGTGCTCATCTACCAGGGTCGAGGATTCGTTGCCCATGGTGCGTGGCCGGCGACCTGTTCGGGGTCGGGCGTGCTGGTGTCGGGGTTTGCGACGGCGACCAATGATGACGGTATACGACTAGTTCCAGTCGCCAAGAAGGATGTGCTTGAAGTAAAGCAGTTCAAGAGTTAGACAGCGGGTGAAACCGTCGATATCGTGAAGAGAAAAGTGCGACTGGAAATCTGAAGATGACGTCGAATGCAGCAATCGGCAGAATTGCTTGTCCCCTGTGGCGGCCTGAGGTATCTTATCTTATGTCCCGTGATTCTTGTACGCCTGAATCTATCTAATTCCTGCCATGTCAATCCTAAGCTCAATTATGAGAGAATGCGGTGAATCTCAAGCAGCTCTCGAGGCTGTTCTCACTCTTCCACATTCTTCATCCTGGCGGCCATTATTCTGAGGCACCTGCAGCACCTAAGGGCTCAGGCAGCTCCCCAGCTGCTCACCGCCTGCGGGCCGAGTGCCAGATGGCCTTCCTTTCCCTTCATCATTTCCCTCTATGCTTCTGAGTGATCAACTGGGTATATCGCCGGTCCATCTCGCCCTTGTCTGATCACAGACAATGTCCAATTCCACGGCCAGCATGGCCAATGGCCATGCAGTGCCTCCCTCGCATCCCGCCCCGGACATCTTCAATGCCAGCTCCGTTGCCGAGATCAAGGCCACCTTGTCGCACCTGCACCACCAGGAGGCCTCTGTTACAGCTCGCCTGGATGCCCTCGTGGCCTCCCAGAAGGATTTCTCTCGCGAATTGGGCCGACTCGACTTACTCCGCGCCCATCTCGGTTCCCAGACCAGCACCACCCGCGCCATCAGCCATGGCATGCTGGCCGATGCCGCAACCACCGCCGATCGCATCTCCAGCGCCGTCCGTCGCCTTGATCTAGAACAATCCCGCGTGAAGGCAACCCTGGAAGTGGTGGAACAGGTCTCTGAGCTCAAGGCCTGTGTGCTGGGCGTTGCAGGCTCCATGGGTGCGCCGCAGGACTGGGAGACCGCCGCCAGCTATCTGAACCGGGCCTCTAAGATCCCCCCGGAGGTCGCGCAGGGGGCCTTTGCCGCGGAAATGGTGCCGACGGCCGAGGTGCCCGATCCGCCAAATGTCACGCTTGATAACGCCGCGGAATCGCTCTGTGGCTTGTTCCTGCGCGAATTCGACAAAGCCGTCAAGGAGAACAACGGTGCCCGCATCACACGCTTTTTCAAGCTCTTCCCCCTCATCGGTCGGTCCGAGGTGGGTCTGGATGTCTACGGCCGCTATGTCTGTCAAGGCGTGGCGGCGCGAGCTCGATCCAACCTCAACGCCGGCACAGGGGCTTCGCCAAGCAAGGACGGCTTCTTCTACGCCAATGCGCTGACCAAGCTGTTCGAACATATCGCTCAGATCATCGATGGTCACGGCGGCCTGGTGGAGCGTCACTACGGCCCGCGTAAGATGAACCGAGTCATTGAGCGTCTGCAGCTGGAGGCCGATGTCCAAGGAGGCATCATCCTGGACACTTGGAGCGACGAGCGCCATGTTGACCGAAAGCTGACCGACACCAAGTCCTACGCTTTCACTTTCCTCGTGCAGAGCTTCCTCCCTCCGCAGCGCAGCGGAACCCCCCGGTCCAACTCGCCTGCCGTACGCGATGCCGCTGCAGCCGATGATGAGGGCGTAGATATGAAGGAGATCGACGGGCTCCTCAACGAGATGGCTGTCATGCTTGGTCGCTGGTCTCTATATTGCCGGTTCCTGGCCGACACCTGCAATGTAAGTCCTACCCACCGCATTCTCCTTGTCTTAACTAACCCAGTCCAGCCCCCGGAAGCGGATGATGACCAGAAGTTCGCCCTGCCGCGATTCCTCCGGGAATCGACCCTGGCGAAGAAGATCAACGACCGCCTGGCCTCTCCATTCAACACCATGACCACATTCTTCTTCCGCCGGTCGGTTGAGAAGGCGTTCCAGCTGGACGAACAGCCCTCCGGCCTGACCCTCAACCCGCAAAGACCGCTCAAATCCGAGCCGCCACACATCACGTCCGCTGTCGACGACATCATGTACATCGTCAACAAGGTCCTGCAGCAGTCTCTCGTCACATCGCAAATCTCCGTCGTCACCAGCGTCGTGCCCACGCTCTCGCGCGTCCTCGGCTCCGACTTTATCGGCATGACCCAGCGCAAAATGCGCGATGAATGCTACCCCCGCGCCGCCGTCCAGGGCGGCCAACCTCCCGAGCAACTCGTCATCTCCTTCCTCGTCCTCATCAACAACCTCGACGTCGCCGTCGACTATGTCCGTCGCATCCTACAAAACCACACCGAGCCCAAAAAGTCCATCAGCCCTGATGGCCAGGTCGAGGAGACCGACCCTCTGCGCTCCCTCTTCCCTGTCCCGGAAGAAGCCCGCCTCGCCACACAAACCCTCCAATCCCTCTCCGCCTCCTTCGAGTCCAAGGTCACCGACCTCCTTACAGACGGCATCCAAGTTGTCTTCAACAACGTCATCAAACACCGTCTCCGGCCCATCCTCTCCGACGCCTTCCGCGACATCGAGTATCAACCCCGCGAAGACACCGACCCCACCCGCACTGTCTACGATGACTACGACTCTGATGATCCGGACTACATGGCCGACGGCACCGTCCCTGATGACGACGACCCCACCAGCCGCGCAGAGCTCGTCCGTCCGCGCTTCGCCGCCGCCTGGACCGAACTGCTCCTACCTCTCAGCCGCATCCTCACCGCATCCGCCTTTGACCGTCTCCTCACCGTCACCATCGCCTACCTCTCCCGGCTCCTGGAGAAGCGTCTCTGGTCTTACCATGGCCGCGTCAACGCCCTGGGCGCCACCCGCCTTGAGCGTGACGTATCCGGGGTGGTCAGCGCCGCTGTCGATGTGGGCGGCACGCAAGCGGCACCAGGGCGGTACCGGCACCGTGAAGCATTCACCCGGTGTCTGCAGATGGTCTTGGTCATGGGCATGGACGAAGATGAGTGGGAAGATGTTCTCCGAGGGGGAGAAACAGCTGAAGTGGTGGATAAGCTGAGTCGCGAAGAGAGGATGAGAGTGAGAGGGATGGTGAGACGGGTTTAAATCTCTTTCACTTTTCACCTTCCACATTTCTTCATTCTCCCTATTCGTCAACGACCTTCTTCTCAGCAAAGAGTCAACTTCTTGCCCCATGTTACCTTTCTACAACCGCATAACATGATCTCTGACAGCGTCATCTTGTTCAAAAATACATACGTATTGCTTTCTCTTGTACATAGTATCTATGCATATCACACATACCAAGCAAGTCATCTTACCATAACTCCAGGCCCTTAAACTACGTGGTTACTTTGTCTCCTTCAAATTCATTAGAAAAATAGAAAAGAAAAAAGTAAAATTAATATATCACTCAATAGATGAACGTTACGGAATGACAAACAGTGATTACATACATCGATATATGCGTACTTAGGGCTAGGTAGGCTATAGATGCTTCCATCCGAGCTCCCCCAGCCAATCTACATAGGAAGAAGGAAATGAGGGGCCATGCAGAACATATAGCATACATGTACGGACATATATATATATATATATATATTAGATAATTTATAAGTTGGGTAAAGCACGCTGCGTAAATATGGGTTTAGTTTTCTCGGTCACGTGTTCCGATGTATACGACAGCTTCGATGTTGGGGGGTCTAGTTTTTGTAGGGAGGCCGAGTACTCCGCATTGCATGTGATCTATCTGTTCACTCCGTACCTCCGTGGGGTATTTGGTAGCATTTCTGGGGTAGTACCCTGGGACACGTTGTCAGCTGTCATTTGCGTCTAGGCTAGCTGATTTCAGACATCTAGATCTACATTATTCGGAATGGTGTAGCTGGTATATGTTATGGATGGATCAATTGACTATCTATGCATGTGCTGGTATCACTCCATAAGCAAGATCTAAGAAACAAACATAGTCAAAAATGAACAATAACCCCCCGCTATAACCTAATATATACAATCCACCCAACAGGTAGATATACATAACCCGCGGGCTTTGTCCCTGAAAACGCCAAACCAAATCGCCGCCAAAGGTAATACATGTACAAAACAAGAAAGTGGCTCAGCCGGGCTAATAAGAAAGGCATCGCTGGATATCACAGAAAGAGAAAAGAAGGCAAAAGACATTAAGAAGTTAGAAAAGATGGAAAGTCCGACTCAGGTCGTCACCTTTTCGTTGATTTGTGTCGCCGGGATAGGCTCTTCGACCGGCTCGGGCTCATGCGGCGCGTGGTGTTCTGCTACCTGTCGCGGCGCAGGCTGCATCTTCAGCTCCTGGATGCCCGAGTCACCCTCGCTGCATCCGCGGCTGTCCACACCAACCGGGGCGTGGCCGTCCAGCATCATCTCGCTGTGCTCGCCGATTCCGTACCGCGCCGCGGCGGGGATCTGGTGGCCGTCTTCGAGCTGGTTGTGCTGCTGAGGGGTCCAGGCGAGGTAGTCACGACGGACTTCAACGTAGTCGTAAGCGAATTCACCCAGCTGGTCGTCGTCCATACCCAGCAGTTCGGCTTCTTCCGAGGCACGCAGTTTCAAGCCGGGAATGGCGTTGATGGCGTAGGCGATGATGGCGGACATGACGAACGAGTAGGCGCAGGTAGCGACGACGTAGGCGATTTGAATGTAAAGTTGCTTGTAGTTGTGGATCAGCCAACCTCCGGATCCTGATCCAGTGTTGACACCGTCCAGTCCAACAATCGCATCGTCCGCGAAGAGGGCGTTAAAGATAAGACCGACAATTCCCGCAACACCGTGTTCCGCGAACACATCCATAGAGTCATCGATACGGATCCAGTATTTCACTGTAAACTCAGTCAGTGTTTGAACAGGATAACTGTCAAGCAACTGCGTGACTTACCCTTAGTGGAGTAGTTGCAAACAATACCGGTCACGACACCGAGGATCACACTAGCCCAGGGAGGGACGAAACCAGAAGCCGGAGTGGCCGCGACGAGGCCCGAGATGGTACCGGAGCACCAGCCGACCATGGACCACTTGCGAGCCAAGCGCCAATCGAGAAGAACCCAAGTCATACCGGCGAAGGCAGCGGTCAAGTTAGAGTTCCAGCAAGCCATGGTGGCACGAAGGTTCGCTCCAAAAGCCGAGCCACCGTTGAATCCCAGCCATCCAAACCAAAGGAAAACGGTTCCCAGTAGAATGAGAGAGACGTTGTGTGGGCGGAAGTTCAGCATCATCCGCTCCTGGCGACGGCCCAGGACCATGGAGTAGGCAAGTGCCGACAGACCAGACCCGATCTCGACAGGACCACCACCAGCGTAATCCAAAACTCCGTACTTGTAGGCCCAACCGTTCACGTTCCATGCCCAGCACGCCAGAGGACAATACACAATCGTGGCCCAAATGAAGACGAATACCATTGCGGGTAGCATGCGTCCACGTTCGGCCACAGCTCCCATGATAATTGCTGCTGTAACTCCGCAGAATTGCATCTATCCCAATTGCGTTAGCTATTGATTGTATAGTCCTAATAAGATATCGTAATTACCTGGTAGAAAGCGTAGAGGAGGTTCGGAACCAGCGGGGATCCCGGGCTAGGATCGGCCAAGGTCTTCATCAGACCGAAGTTGCGCAGGTTACCGATGTAGCCGTTGGTTGCAGTCGGGGAAAAGGCGAGGGAATAACCCCAGAAGTACCATTGGAAAGTGACGACGGAGAACGAGGCCATACAAGCCCAGATCATACTCAGAGCTGACTTGCGGCGCGCGAGACCGGAGTAAAGGAAAGCGAGACCAGGAATCATGACCATCACCATGGCGGAAGCCACGATGATGTATGCTTGATCACCAGATTGAAACCATTTGTTCAAGTTTTCCGTTCCTAACCAACAGGTGAGTCATGGGAAGCCAAAACGACCAACAAAGGCAGGGTAACTAACTGGAATCGCCACCGATATCGTTGGTCGTGAGAGCCTCGTAGTCGGAGGGAGCGCCCGTCCAGTTGTAGGACGCATATTGCGGGATGAAGACGCCTGGTTTGTCCGACATGGTGGGAAAGAAAGACTATCGAATTAACACGAGGAATTGACGGGTCGAAATGAACTTCTGACGGGCGTCGTGAAGTCACCACCGCCGAGGAATGTTCTCAGGCCGAGAACAGGCGGGTGGTGGAGAGGGTGTAGTTCGGGTGGGTGGCGGCAAGGACTGCAGAAGCGAGATCGGGATCGAAGATCGAAGTCGGGACTGGCGAAATAGAGTATCTGCAAGGGCGAAAGGGGGAGAGAGAAAGGGAGGTGACACAGAGAGGAGGTTTGAGGAATGAATTGGAATGGAGGGGAGTGACAGAGAGAGAGAAGAGAGAGAGGGAGAGAAGAAAGGCGTGTCGATTGAAGGACCGGCAGCGGGAATGTAAGACGGAATGCCGTGAGAGGAAGAGAGAGAAAGAGAGGGAAAGGATGCTGCAGACTGTCGACTCCGCCGGATGTGGAGAAGGGAAAACCGCCACGGGGGGCGCGGAGGGCGTCGACTATATAAATAAGAGTGCGCTGACTTGAGGAATGAAGCAGAAGATGGCCGATGAGTGGAGCGGCCGGGCAGACAAGATTCTGGAAAGGCACCGGAGTGGGACCTCAAACCTGCGACGAGGTTGCGCTTTTACCAATCCGACCCGATAGCAGCGATAATAGGTTGGTGTCAATGCCCAGGCAGGAGGACGAGGAAAAGTCCCTAAACTTTGCTCAAACGTTGGGCGCGGGTGGAGCACCTCGACCGTCGATAATATCTATTAGTGATGACTTTTTGGCGGGTGGATGATAAGTTGATATGCCCTTGAAACTTCATTCATTCAATTCACTTCCAGATTAGCCTCGCGTGGGAGAGAAAGAAGACCCCAGAAAGATTAAAAGGGAACACGAAAAAGTCTAAAATTCAAGTCTCCAGTAAATAGTCAGAAAACAAGAAAAAGAAAAAGAGAAAAAGAAAAAGGGAAATAATCAGAAAACAATAATTTATTCTCTTTCCACCACGCGAGGGAGGCGCCAGAAAATAATTCAAATCAAATAAAATAGAGATAGTGAGAAAAAAGTCCCAAATGGGAGGCCGCCGAGTCGGGCGAGAGATAAGGTGAAAAATCAAATGGCATAAAATAAACTCGGGCCCGACGATCATCCACCAGAACCCATTCAAAATCCACTGGTTGCGTTTCCTGGCGAACGGCGGAGGAATGGATGCCGCTGCTGGTGCTGCTGTTGGTGATGGGGAAGGAAGGAGGATAGACTTTTCTTTGCTGCGTGTGCTTCACTTGTCAAAGTTGATAGATCGTGAGAGGCTCTTCTGACAACCACACACACATATACAAACATCAATTGTATTTCCCAATTACCTGTCAGTTAGTAGTTTCTTCTGCAGTGAGTGCAAAATGAGTATTTGCTCTGGGCCCTTGATTGGGTCCGTGGCAAAACTGCCGCCCTCGGCCAAGACCGCCGCCGATTGAGGAGGACTGCAGAAATTATTCCCAAAGAAGTCGGTGGCGAAAACTCCCCGTCATATTTCCACTTTAGCCCCGGCTGGGTCCTGGTATACTATCCTCGGTTAAGCCTGTTGGAATGATCTGTTTCATCATCATAAGCAGCAGCAACAGCAGCAACAACATCATCATCTACAATCAATTCATACTGAGTGTTCATTCACACAGCCACCATGCCCAGGTTCCAGTGGATAGGAAAGAGCGTCGGTCCAGGCCCCGACCCATTGAATCTGCAAACTCGTCCCAGGGGAGAGGGTTCGTATAGCCTCCCGGTTAGGTTCCATGCTGTTTCCCTGCTTGTATAGTAAGCTGTAATCCCCAGTATACGGTATGGTATATGGTATCAAATGTGTCGATGATGCCCACGCGACAGCGAGTAAGTGGACTGTAGGACCGCATAGACCAGCTCATCCCACCGCATGGTCTGCTGCTTCCTGGATCATCATCTCTCCGTATGCAGAGAGGACAAGAAAGGAGAAGAAACAGAGCAGCACCAGCGCAATCCGGGGGCCTCGGGCTTGGGGCTTCTGTTTACTTTATGTATCTACTCGATATGCGCGCACGCGGAACTCCGACAGCTGGCGATTATCTATCACGCATACCTTCAAGCCCAATGATAACAGACTGAACACGTTCCAGACAGAGCTACTACACAGCGCATACTCGCGGCCTGGGGCCCTATCTGTTGCCGAGTTGGGCCGGCAAAGGAATGGGCAACCGGTTCCAGATTAGTAGATAGATAGGGGTACTGACTGTGTTTGATCTGGCTCGAATTTGAGGCAGAC